CCAACTCGTGATTTTTTATTTTAGCTCATGAAAAATTGTCTTGATAACTTTGTTTCATGATTCTTTCAACAGAAGCAATAAGCTATTTTCTTTTAATTAGTTAAAGTTTACTCATGGAATAAGAAATTATCCTAGTTATTACTCATTTTTATTGTATTTTCTGGAAGTGATTACGAAAAAGAAGCACTCCACTTGCCCAATGTATAAAGAAGTGAAGAACTACTTCAACCTTTGTTCAATACATGATGTTTATTGGGCATATGTATATGTTACGGTCAAAATTGGAATCTGATCAAATTCTAAATTTGCCTAGTCAAAATTGGAATTCTAATTTTACCCAGACAAAATTAGAATTCTAATATTGACCAGACTATTCTTAGACAAAATTAGAATTCCAATTTTGCCCAGACGAAATTAGGATCGGACTAAAAATCAATTGATCAAGTTGAAAACAATTAGAGTTTGAATAAATAAAGAGTTTTTTATTTTACAAACTATTTAGGGATGCAATAAACCGAAAGCTTTGAGATTTGGTGCCATTAGATTTGGATTTGAGTTTGGGTTTCGAAGTAGATTTTGGACCCGATTTGGATTTGGCCTCCGATAGTTTGTATTCCAAAGGATTTGATAAGATGTGGTGTTACAAACAACATACTGTACTAGGATTAAATAGAACCAAAAAACGATTGTAGGATTTGAAATCGAATACTTTGTGTTTGGATTTGGATTCGGTTTTAGCTGCCAAATGTTTTGTCTAGTTCTGCCCAACCATTAATACTGTAGACTATTGTTGGTAACGCCACATCTTACCAGGTCCTTTGGACTTTGGGCCATAAGGCAGCAAATCCAAACCAAATCCAAATCGGGTCCAAAGTCTACTTCGAAACCCAAACTCAAATCCAAATCTAATGGCACCAAATCTCAAAGCTTTCGGTTTATTGCATCCCTAAATAGTTTGTAAAATAAAAAACTCTTTATTTATTCAAACTCTAATTGTTTTCAACTTGATCAATTGATTTTTAGTTCGATCCTAATTTCGTCTGGGCAAAATTGGAATTCTAATTTTGTCTAAGAATAGTCTGGTCAATATTAGAATTCTAATTTTGTCTGGGCAAAATTAGAATTCCAATTTTGACTGGGCAAATTTAGAATTTGACCAGATTCCAATTTTGACCGTAACATATATGTCTAAAATGTGTCTGATTCGAATTCAACAGAGGGTTAATAGAAGATCGTAAAAAAGAGAGAGGAAAAAGAGAAACATCAATGGTTGGGAGTTAATCAAATAAATGAATTTCAAAATAATTCAAAACTTCTATATTTATTTATAGAAATGTATCCATATAATTATAAAAAAATTTTATTATTATCTAGTAGGGTCTACAAGAATCTACTAGCGTTTATTAGGATCTAGTAGGGTCTGCTAGAGTCTAGTAGAATCTACTAGGATCTAGATAAGATATATAAAACATAGACTATTTGAATCGTCCATCGGTAATTCGATAAGATAATAGGAAAGAAAGAAAGCAAGATCAGTGATATGTCATATAAATATCGTCATTTTTGGTAAGTAGATATTATTCTTTTGACTTGATTGGCCTGAATAATTTTCACTCCCAACTGCTTCAGATGATTAAGTTTGGTTTTGATTGTTTGTGTATCGATACCTCTTGTAGCATCTTCGATGATGTATGTGTTATAGTTCAAATTGAATGCATCAAAAGCAGTTGCTGATACACAATAATCCGTTGCTAATCCAGCAAGAAAAACATGTTTAACATTATATTCTCGAAGCTTGTCATCGAGCTCGGTTTTTCTAACACCTCCATTATCCATAAATGCTGAATAACTATCAATGTCAGGATCGGTACCTTTTGTAATATGTATTACTGTGTTGTTGGTTGATGAAACATATAGATTTTTATGTAGAGCAGCATCCTCTGTCCCTTGTACGCAATGTGTGGGCCATAGAACTTGTTTTGTTTTTAATTTTGGACCAGTGTATGTAACTTCATCAAACATTTTTATCTTTCGAACTTTTTTATCTTTCAAATATTTTCGACGTGATTTGAGATTTTCAAAAAATGAAATATGATTTGGTGGATGCCAGTCATATGTATATACGACTAAATCAAAGGGAATTGTTTGTATTAAATGATTGATGATAGGGACAACTTCGGCACCATTCTGATGAGCGGGACCGTGAGACAAAGCAAGATTTCCGGTAATAAAACAATTTTGGACGTCGACTACTATTAATGCACAGACATTGTCGGATGACTTTTTTTCTTAAACATTACAAAATTAATACGAAAATTGTTGTTATGTTTAATCTAACCTTCTCGTGCGCTAAGGGCTATAAAAGAATAAATAATATTTGTTATCACGGCAATATCTAAGATCAATAGATTCAATGATTTCATATCGAACAACATTTTTCTTGTTTGAAAATAATCTGGTATCGTTCGATCGATCGACACAGTTACTTGTAAATATACCGTACGATATAGTATTTATTCCGTTACTTGGTGATTTTTGGATTCATCGTCCTACAAATTAGACAACATCGTTCAAGATATTTGAAGTAATATGAAGGCTCCTATAACAATATTACGTAAAAGGGTAGTATTAAAGTCAAGAATAGCTATTGTAACATTAACGAAAGTCTATCATTAATAAAGAAATATGTTAATCTAGTGATGTTTACTTCAATCACTTATAAAAAGAAAAAAAAGAAAGTTGACTTTTGAATGATAATTTGTTTATGACGATATCTTCGAGTAACTCTTTTCACAATATCTAAATGGTGACAAGTTCTATTACGTCATAATCTGCACATGCACGAATCTTCTATCCAGTTTGTGTGATGGCCATGCTGTGCATTTTTATTTCCATTAATTAAAAACATTGTAATATTAAACAAAATGTAACATACGGTTTAACTGCTGTAAGAAAAAAGCCTTATGTCAGAAGTCATTTCATTGTGAGTTGTTCTCCATCAATAGGGAATTTTCAGCCGAATCCAAAGCATATCGAAAGACATTTTTTGCAAAGTTAGTAGTTTGTTCACAGCAGAACATCGTAAAATCTAAAACACTTTCTCATCAGTGTTTCTATTTATGCTTGAGCTATAGTAAATGGAAAGTGTCTAGCACTAAGTGAAATCCATTGATAAGTCAATATGGTGAAATATTCTGTAGATTACTGAGTATTAGAAGTTTTCAAGTCTTAATGAATAATTTGCAAAAATAATGAATTAGTTTTGGTCCTTTTCGACTATCAATATGCAAT